GCCACCTAAAATTAATGTGTAACAAAGCCCTGTGTCTCCATGCAACACAATGTGGGATTGTGAAGGGGGCAGGGGTGTTCTGCTCCCTGCTTGGCTGAAGTAGTAGAGTCTAGCCTGAGAAACACACTCACTTCAGGGAGGGTGGGTGGGGGTAAGGGGGAATTTTCTTCTGGGAGCAATTATGTTCCTGGGTTATTTTTGTCCTGGAGCAGCTATACACTCATGGTTTCTCCTGGGAGAGCAGCAACTTTCCCAGGAGAAACTGAATGTCTGTACATCATTTAAAACTTCCTTAATGTCACAATAGTAGGGCAATGAAAGAAACTGCCCAGGGAAGTTGTGAAGTCTCCTTCACAAAAAAAATGTTCAAGAGACTAAAAAAGCATTTGACAGATTTAAGAACAGTACACCCTGCATTTATGCATGGGGTTGAACTAGATGACTTGGAGTCCCTACCAGCAGCCCTGTGTTTCAAAGAAATCAGAGAAGCAGAAAAAGCTTCTGTCCTCGTTTAGATCTGGTAAAAACTTAGCCAAAAAACCCCCAGCCTTACTCAGCATATTTATTTTGTGGTAATTTACCTCAGATTTTACTCTGGAGTAAAATTATACCAGCATCCAGGACCAGAGGCATAACAGGGCAGCTACATGTGCTGGGCACCAGCTCTCCACAAGGCATCGTAATGGTGGTGGTAGTGGTGGTGTGACCAGCTGTCAGCTGTAGCAGCAACTATTTATGCACCCTCCCCCAAAAGTGGTACCTGGGGCTCCTGCTCTGGTTGCCCCTACTCAGTTACACTACTGCCCCAGACAGCTGTTTGACCATGTCACCTGAGGTAGCTGTTTGTAGTAGTCATTATTACAGCACCACACCCCTAGGAGTTGGTGAACAAGTAATAGCTTGACTGCACTGAACAAATGGCTGTCCTTGAATTAAATTGACTAGCATTGCATTACTCTGGAATAAATGTATCATGTGCCTGCAGCCCAGCACTAGGACTTGAACCTTCCTGTCAGCATTCACACACTGCTACCATGTGAGACAGGATACTGGATTAGTGGACCTACCATCTGACCTAGTGAATGGCATTTCTTACTTTTCTTAATCGCAAAGGTATTGCTAATCATGGAGGTAGAGACAAGATACTATATGAAGTCAGAAAAAGATAAGCACATCTTGTTAAAGAAGAAATAACTCATTCAATAAATGTAGAAGAGAGAAGAGAAGTTGAGTGGCAAAATCCTTATTTAGGGCATAATCATGGGCTGTGTCTTGCAAAGCACTGGAGCAGCTGGAGGCTCTGAGCACATTCTTCATGGGGAAAATGGTAATTGCAGTTGCTAATCTGTATTCAAGCCCTGATGGTGAAATTTATTTCCAGACTAGTCCATATGATATGCCAAACTACTGGGTCCTGAAATTAAATATCTATTCCTTAACATACAAAAAATAACAACTTTCTCTGTATTCCTATCCACCATTATTTCTTCTGTCACTCTCAGAATACAGTGCACGATTAAAGGTTGGGTATGAACTAGCAAAACAAACAAACAAACTTTTTGCACTCAAGAAACATTGGCCATCCTAAGATTGAAACTGTTAAGAAAAATGCTCCTGAAAGTTTGTAATGAAAATAATGCAACTCATCCACCGTCTAAGCCAGGCATATACTAGAATCTATCGGAAATTACCCACAGATAGCAATATATTCTACTACTCGGATAGCTCTACCACTAAAATATTGCTATTATGGTTTCCTCTTCTTATGTTGTCTTTTTAAAAATAGTTAACCATTCACTTTTTTTCTAGGAGATGACCCATTCTTGGCCGCCACCACTCTCAGCTATTCACACACCTGGAAAAGTGGAACAGAGCAAGTTTTCATTCCCAAACAAGGTAAGTAAGTATTTATAATCTATAAGCAACTCTTTATAATCTATGAACACATTTCTCCAACTCAATATAATTCTGAATTCTGATTCTCTATGGGACCTTCTGTTACTTCTAACTACACATCCAAGCATAAACATTTCTGGACACAGGACATGTACTGGGGTGTTGTAAAGGTTATTGGCATGAGTTTCAGAAAGATGCATTATTCATAAATGGTGAGTGATTAATGAATAATGTAAGTCATCCCATATAAATATCGTGTTTTACCTTTCGGCATCACATGTAGTTTAAGTGCTACAAGCCTATTCCAGAATTATTTTAGAGGGGTATTAAAGTCACAGATCCACAAGCAGGCTGTGGTCATGTGTTGGTCACTTCACCCTTGGAATGGGACAGGGGGTGATTTGGCAGCTGTGATCATGACTGAGCAGTCCTTTTTAGGATCCCCTCTGCTTACTCTGCATTGGGAGAGGGCTAGAAAAAATACTTCAAACATAGGCTATCCCACCTTATCTTACCCAACCAGATAGCAGCTTCCAGAGGGATCACTCAAACTGTGGTCGAAACACAAAAATGTCCTTTGCATCCTGGAATGTATAAACCTTACTAGATGACCCAAGCAGTAACAGACCTGAACATGGAACAGCTATTGTTGCCCAAGAACTCTTGTCAACAACATCAATATTGCTGTGCTCAGTGAGCCCAGACGTGCAGCTGAAGGCCATCTGAGGGAGGAATGGGGTGACTACACATTCTTCTGGAAAGGCCAACCTGCAAACGATAGATGAATACACAGCATTAGTTTCACCATTAAGAACCAGATTGTCAGCTGAATGAGCAAATTCCCTGTTGGCATTAACAAGCACCTCATGACTCCATCTCCAACTGACCAACAATTTGTTTGCTACCATCATCAGTGCATATCAATGCTGAGAAAGAACAAAAAGAATAGTTTTATGCTGACCTTGATGAAATCCTGACTATCATCGCAAAAGAGGATAAAATCATTCTCCTTGGAGATCTCAATGCAAGAGTTTGCCAGGACTTTAATATGTGGAAGAGCACCATATGGAAGGAAGGAATGGGCAAGGCCCATTCCAACAGCATCCTCTTAGTCAGTAAATGTGCAGAGCATGACTTTGTCCTTATTAACACTATGTTCAAACAACATGACAGGTACAAAACAACATGGCAACATCCCAGCTGAAAACAATGGCAGCTTCTCAACTATGTCATTGTAAGAGCATGTGATCTAAAAGACATTCATACCATGCATGTTATGAGAGGAGCCAGTGACTGCTGGACCAATCATAGCTTAGTGAGATCAATCATGCCCATTAGGATTGCGCTGAAACATGGAAAGCAACCCAAATCAGTGCAAAGACAGTGCAGTATCAAACACTTTCAGACCCTTAGACACTGCAAAGCCCTCCAAACACATCTCAGCAAAAAACTCACCAATCTTAGGATTGAAAAAGATAACACTTGTATTGAGGAAGATTGGCAAGCTCTAAAGAAGATCATCCATGAGGCATGTCCAGAATCAACTGGCTTTATCACCTGATGCCATCAGGACTGGTTTGACAAAAACAGTGTTGAGATCAAAGCCCTTCTCAGTTGGAAGAGAAAAGCTTTCTGTGACTGGCAAAACTATCCTATGTCCAGTTAGAAGCAGGGAGCTTCCAGTCAGGGAATTTTTCAACAGCTTAAAGCCGAAGCCCAGAAGATTCAAGGAATCAAAAACAAATGGTGAGAAGAGAAGACAAAAGAAATCCAACAATTTGTTGGCAATCATTTCATATGGAGCTTCTTCATTGCAGTCAAGACTGTGTACAGACCAAGCTCTTGCAGACTTACCCCACTTAGAAGTGAAGATGGCAGTACACTCCTTAAAGACAAATCCATCAGAAAACACTGGATTGAGCACTACCCAAAGCTCCTGAGCCAAGAATCAATGGTGAATTGATGAAACCATTGAATCTACCCCACAGCGTCCAGTAAGGGAAGAACTTGCCAGTCTACCAACCTCTGAAGAAGTCAACCATGTGATAAGATAGAGGAAGAACAACAAAGCTTCTGGCCCTGATAGCATGACAGCTGAGGTCTTCAAAGCTGGTAGGGAAACTATAACCAACAAGTTCCACACACTGCTTCTCATAATCTGGAACACTGAGGAAATTCCAGCTGACCTAAGCAATGCCAATATTGCCACTATTGTTGAAAAGGGAGATAAGTCTGTCTGTGAATACTATCAAGGTATCACCCTCCTCTCCGTCACTGGGAAGAGCCTCACTTGAATGCTGCTGAACCGACTGCTTCCTCTTGCCACAGAAATCCTTCCCAAGTTTCAGTGCATCTTCAGACCACCAAGAGGCACCATGGACATGATTTTTGTGGCTTATTAGATCCAGGAAAAATACCAGTAACAACACCAGGAACTGGATGGGTGTGTCCAGACAAGTGTGGATGTGTGGTATGTGGTGCTGCAGACCTACCTGTGGCACCACACACTGCACATGCAGGCATTCTCCACACTGCTAATTTCCAGTGCGGGAGGGTTTTTTTGACCCCAGGAGATCCTATGGTCAAAAATACCTGCATCTAAAAAAAAGCAGGGTGGCACACATTGAGGCAGCGCACTACCCAAAACCAGAGTCTCACCAGCTGCCATTCTCCAGCTACCAGCCAGGCTCTCTGCTGCAAGACCGCTGCAGCTGCAGCTCCTGGAGGCTCCAGGATCCCAGGTAAGGCTGCCTCCCTTACCCCACCTGAGGCAACATGCCAGTGCTACTACTTGTCCCTGGGGAAACACACATTCCCGCTTGTGGGGATGAGTCCAATACAGCCTTTATCAATTTGACCAAAGCATTCAGCTCTTAACTGTGAGGCTTTATGGAAGATTTTATTAAAGTTTGGCTGCCCAGGGAAATTTATCTCCATCCTATAACTCCTTCAGGACCAGATGACTGCCTTCATCCTATGCAGTGATTCCACTACAGAGCCCTTTGCCATGCAGACTAGTGTCATGGAGAGCTGCATGATCATACCAATGTTGTTTTCCATCTTTCTTGCAGTCATCAAGATGCTCATCCATGACCACCTGCCAAATGGCATTGGCATCGAGTACAAAATGGATAGGAATCTTTTCAATCTCTCCCACCTCGTGCCAAAACCAAAGTTACCTCGGCCTTGATTGTGGGACTTCAGTACATTGTGATGTTGTTGTACATATGGAGGGGAACCTACAAACAGCCCTTAATTGCTTCTGTCAAGCATACCAGTGCCTGGAACTGACCCTTAACATCATAAAAGCAAAGGTGCTTCACCAGCCTGCTCTGGGCCAATCAACTCCCCTGGCGAAGATCCTCATTGACAGACAGAAGCTGGAGAATGTTGAACACCTTGCATACCTCAGCAGCCATCTCTCAAAGAAGGCCAACAATGATGAGGAGATCCAGGATAAGATCCAATGTGCCAGCTCTGCCCTTGGAAGACTGAATCATTGTTCATTCAACAATCATGACATCGGGACTCAAACAAGGTTCTTACTATTTAAGACTGTGGTAATCGCAACTCTACAGCTGCAAAGCTTGGGTGACCTACAGGGATCATCTGAAAAGCCTGGAACACCTTCACCAGCACTACTTCCAGAAGTTCCTTGGGATAAAGTGGGAGGATCATTGCATAAATGCCAGTGTCCTCACCAATGCTAACACCACCACTGTGGAAGTGACAATTATTCAACATCAGTTACAGTAGACTCTACATGCATGCCTGAGGCATGTTTTCCAAAATAAGTGCTATACTCCCAGGACAAGGACAAAGAGCATGTGGTGGCCAGAAGAAATGCTTCAAGGACACCCTCAAAGTGAACATTAAGAAGGGTGCCATTGACCCCACAAATTGGGTAAGACTAGCTCGGAACAGGGCTACATGGCGATTTCTTGTGAGAGAAGGTACATCCTACTTTGAGGAAAACCATCTCACCCTGGGGGCAGAAAAAATGATGGAGATGGAAGAAAAGGAAACAAGACTGAGAAATCCATAATCCAACTCTCCCTTTAACCACCACCTGTGACATTTGCCAGAGAGTCTGCAATTCTAGCATCGGCCTTCTTCGCCAATAATGGATTCATTTACAATTGTGATAGGGTGGCTGGTGTGCCTGTCCCACCACCTGAGAGGCAGCTTGCATGTGGTGATGGGGGCTGATTAGAGACTCATCTGACCAGAAGGGGGCCAGGCTTGAGTCAGATAAGCCCGGAGTCTAAGCCAGTCAGGCAATCCAGCCCTGAGAGCCATGAAAGTAGGGGCTCCTGGCAGCAGGGCTCCGGAGCTGACAGTAGAACTGGGTAAGTAACTCTGCAGGCCTGGGAAAAGAGGAAGTTACCAGGGACAGAAGGAGGCTTGTTTATGCAGGCAGGTGGGGGTGAGGGAGGTCTCAACTGGCTTGAGGGCAGAGCCAGGGCCCAGGAGGGGCCAAAGGTCAAGGAGAGATCACAACCAGAGACTGCCAGAGCCAGGGAGCCTGGAGATCTCAATTGGTTCACGAGCAGGGCCAGGGCCCAGAAGGGGCCAAAGGTCCAAGAGGGATCCAGCTGGAAACTGAGCCCAAGTGGGTCAGGTCAGGCCAGGGAACCCAGAGATGTCAACTGGCCTGAGGGTGGGGCCAGAGCCCAGGAGGGCCTAAATTGGTGATCCAGGAGGGACCACAGTGGTCCAGGAGGGACCCCTGTCAGAGCCAGAGAGACTGGAAATCTCAACTGGCCCCAAAGCAGGGTCAGGACCCAAGAAGAACTAGAGGTCCAAGAGGGACCACTGACAGAGACTGATAGGGTCAGGGACCAACAGTTAGGGAGGCTGGAGCCTAGAAGCCAGATCCAGTGCCATCAGCCTGAGCTAAAAGGCACAGCAATAGCATAAGGGGAGGAGGCCAATAAGCCCAAGACCCCTACAAGGTGAATAACTGTAAAATAACACCCGCAAGGCATAGGGCATGGTGT